ATCTTCTTATCTTTTTGAGTATCCCCTTAGATTATCCTCCAAAGCGTGGAATGTTGTACAATGAAATCTGGAGAACAGAAAACTGCTTTTAGCTGCTGTCAGTATTTTCTGAAATGGCTGTAAGAAAATTTTTGCTCTTCCACCGATGAATGTTTCTGATTACTTTTCTTGTAACATATCTTGTTTTTATAATTTTTCCCCAGCTTCTTCCTCGGTGGGAATATTTTCCCTTATAACTTTGGAAGTGGCTTAGAATTCATTTTGCAGGCAACTGAGGCAGCCACAGGGCACTCTGCGGGGCAAGGTTCATACTCCAGCAGTGGTACTATACCGTGTCTGACAGAAGGCCTCATCCTCAGACAATTTCAGACATTGGGAGTTCTCCCATTAAAGAGTCTGGATCACAAAGAGAGAGTTTCAATGTGCTGGCAGACAAGACACTCAGGAAAATCAATCTGAATGAATGAAAGGTATGCTTCAAAGGTGGGCATGTTAGAAATCAATGAACCCCCCAAATAGGAATAAAAATTGATCTTGCTTGTACTTAGTATACTTCTCTCTGAAAACAAAGTACATTAAATTAAGACCAGTTTAGATTTTGAATCAGCTCTGCATAGAGCAGTTTAGCAACCTTTAACACTTTAAGAATTGATTCAGATTTTCTGAGAATTACGATATAAAAAAGATTTATTATTTCTTCTCTATGTGTCTTCTGCAGCATTAGACACATTGCTGGTACTTGAAACAAATAATGAAAAATACTGAATGGTTAACATTTGTATTTTCTGGTTTTGATAGACAATTTTTGATAAGATAAAGGATTTTAGTAGAGGCATGAAAGCAATATGTTAGAGCAAGCTCTTTTTTTCCTTTCTGTTGCTTGCTAGAAAGTTTCAAAATCCTTTCTAAATCCTTTGTAAAGACCTAAAACAATCAAACCGGAGAAAAGAGTGAAAAGCATTTATACATAGAAGCTGATGTATTCCCCTTACGGTCACTGAATTCCCCTTCCTGCATCAGGCTAAACTTGGAGTACCTCTACATCTCTGTAAGACCCAAGGTGCCATAATCAGCATTTGAAAACAGTGCAACAATCATATTTACTGGATGTTGTCTAAACAAATGGATCAAAAAATAAAACATTTTTTGTAGGTACGCATATTTTTAGCAATTTTCATTTTGGCTCACATTCTATGATAAGAGAAGTCAGGAGTAACTTTGCTGGCTTCCACTTCTGCTGATTAACTCGGATCTAGAACAGCATTTCTGAGAACAGAATTTGTCCTCCTGGTAACAGGCAAAGAGACAGTAAGCCTCTTGCGGGGATTGTGCAGCGGAGACCCCAGGGATGAAGAGACTCAGCTGGACCCAGCTATATGAAAGAAACTATGGACTCCCTTGAGCATTTCCAAACGACACCTTGCTGAAGGCTTAGTCATCCCTGCTGGGGGTTGCCATCTATGAAAGACAAATCACTTTCACCTATTACTGGGGTCTCAGGAGCTGTTATAAATCGCATGGAACTGAATTCACAAGCAAAGAAAACTAAAACCAGTTAAAATTTAGTTAAGAGCCCGATGCATTTAGTATTTTCCTAAGAATGCTGAAGATGCGCTGACAATAAACAACACTTCGGGAAAATTTATCAGGAACATTGTGTGTATTTAGAATACAATTTTTTAAAATGGAAGATGTTTTTTAAACGAGGACAGCAGTGTTAATGTTGCTACTCGACATATTTTAACGTATGGAATAACACTTGCCCATTTTATTTTATTTTTGAAAATAATTTATGAGAGATTCTGGTGTGTTTCACACTAAAACTGCAACTGAAGAAAACGCCAAGAAAATCCTCTTTCTCCCTCCGTAGCGACTGCTGCACAAAACAGAAAACAAGACCCTCGGTGAGACGCCCGAGATGTTTACAAGTGCAGCGGGCGACGTTTCAGCCCCCCTCCCTCTCCAGGCAAAACACACACAAGCGTCGCGGCGGACCCCGGCCCCGCTCCCTCCTCTCCTTTCTCCCTCCCGCGGCGCTTGCCCCCCCCCGGCCCCCGC